GAATACAGGTGGTTGGGTTCTTTTGCAGAATATTCACTTATCTTTATCATTCTGCACAGAAGTAATGGATGCACTCGTTGAAACAGATATCGTTCATGAAGCCTTCAGATTATGGATGACTACAGAAGTGCATCCACAATTCCCTATTGGTCTATTACAGGTTTATACTGAAAGCAACAAATATTTAATTATTTCGATATTATATCATAGAAGATATAGCGATGTGATTTTAGATGGCAATCAAATTCACTAATGAACCACCCCAAGGTATCAGAGCTAGCTTAAAGAGAACTTATCAAAATGTAACACAGGATACATTGGATTATAGTACGCAATCACAATGGCCACCATTATTATATGCTGTAGCATTTTTACATACGGTTGTACAAGAACGTAGAAAGTTTGGTCCACTTGGTTGGAATATACCTTACGAATTTAATCAAGCAGATTTCGCAGCCTCGATACAATTTATTCAAAATCATCTTGATGATATGGATCCCAAGAAAGGTGTATCCTGGCCCACAGTCTGTTATATGCTTGGAGAGGTATGATAGATATGATAGACGTATAGCAAGGACAGTGTTCCTCGCTTGCTCTTAACGACATTAATTTGAAAAAAAAATGTATAATGTATTATTTAACAATGTAAAACTTTCCACAGGTTCAATATGGTGGTAGAGTTACAGATGATTTTGATAAGCGTTTATTAACAACCTTCACTCATGTATGGTTCTGTGATGTTCTTCTACGTCCTGGATTCGAATTCTATCGTGGCTATAAAGTACCACAAACTCGAAATCTTCAGGCATACGTAGATTACATTGACAATCTTCCAACTACTGACAATCCAGAAGTATTTGGATTGCATCCAAATGCAGATATCACTTATCAAATTAATACGGCTAAGGGAATTTTGGATACTATTCTCAGTGTACAACCAAAAGAAGGTGGTGCACAAGGTGGTGAAACTAGAGAAACCATCGTTTACAAATTAGCAAACGATATGCTATCCAAGTTACCAAAACAATATAATTCTTTTGAAGTAAAAGAAGCACTCCACAGAATGGGAGCATTATTACCAATGAATATTTTCTTAAGGCAAGAAATAGATAGGTAAATTTCACTTTTGATATCCTTTTAGTAATGCGCAAATTTAAATAATCCATTGTATTCAATGATATATCGATATAATCATTTGTTATATTTTATAAATGAATTTTATCTTTCAAGAATCACAAGAGTCATCAAAGAAGTTTACAGTACATTAACGAATTTAAAGTTAGCAATCGAAGGTACTATTGTAATGAGTCAGGGATTGCGTAAATCATTGGATTCTATGTATGATGCCCGTATACCAGAAAAATGGTTGAAAATTTCTTGGGAATCAGCTACTTTAGGATTTTGGTATACGGAACTTTTGGAAAGAGATCATCAATTTAGACACTGGTGTACTCATGGAAGATCTAAAGTCTTTTGGATGACAGGTTTCTTTAATCCTCAAGGATTTTTAACAGCCATGAGACAAGTACGTATGTTTAATATAAATATAATTAATATAATATATATTATATACTAATATAAATATATTATATATTAATATAATTTTTTCTGTTTTTCTAAAAATATTACACAATTTAGGAAGTCACTAGAGCACACAAAGGTTGGGCTTTAGATTCTGTAGTATTACAAAATCTTATAACGCGTTTTAATAAAGAAGATATTAAAGAACAACCTCAAGAAGGAGTTTATGTACATGGATTATTTTTAGAGGGTGCGTCTCTTGATCGTAGGGCTGGAAAACTTATAGAGAGTAAACCGAAGGTTTTATATGAACAAATGCCCGTAATTTACATATATGCAATTAATACAACTGCTGGTAAAGATCCAAAACTTTACGAATGCCCTATATATAGAAAACCTCAAAGAACTGATCAAAAATATGTTGGTTCCATCGATTTTCAAACTGATCATAATCCCCGTCATTGGACTTTACGTGGCGTAGCATTGTTATGTGATATTAAGTAAATAAAATTAATACAAATATTTATATACGTGATCGAATGTGATTTAATCTTCACAAATATTTTTATTATTTTAAATACAATAGTTAATTGTAATAGCTAACAAAAAATTATTAGAAAATAATCATGTTTTTACAATATTTAAAATTAATATAGAAGTTGTATTTTACAGAAATTTAAGAAATGAAGCGTTAACTTAATAATATCTGTATGTTAACTATGTGTTAACTACTTTGTTTTTTTCGATTTTTAAACACTCTTTAGCAAGTAGAAAATATATAAATTTCAGTTTGTCATGTTCTAATAGTATAAAAAGCATATATACATATAAAACATTTTACTTTAAGAGTAATATAATCGAATCTATTAAATTAAGAACTGCTTTATATTCAGCTTCTTTTTTAGTTGTCCCTGAACTACATTGTACAATAGACGGAGAAGTATCAGTTTCTATACTAACAACAAAAATATCTGGATTTATAGAATTTAACAATGTTATAGTCACTTGAATAGCTAATGGTGTCAAAATTTCTTGTAATCTATATAAAATAGTGTTTACCATATTGTAATCACTTGTATCATGTCTAATTGACTGTAAATTTGTTAATAATTCTTGGCGTATCGTCATGAAAGAATTTTTCAATTTTATATGATAGTCAGAAATTTTAAGACCTAAATTTACCTTCTTAGATGAAAACCTATTTAACTGAGGATAACGTGCTTCAGCAATAGAATTGCTTATCATATCATTTATTTTAAGTTGGCTTTGTTCATCATTATCCAGAAATTCAGGATAATTAACAGAAACAAGCTCTTTTATACGATTTAACATTTTTTTAGCTGCCTCATGTTTTGCTTGTTTTTTTGTAGTAGCAATTCCTTCTTCTTTAAATGTTGAAAGTACACATTGATAAGTAAAAATTCTTGCATGTGGTGGACCTTCATCATTGATAGGTATATACTCTGGTTCCTGCAAATTATTTTCTGCACACAATGTCTGTAAAATATAAAAGATTTATAATGACTATGTATTATATATATTTGTAATTAATACTGACTCAAATATTAAAAGTAAAGAAATACCTGTAAAGCACCTATTGCATTTACAAAAGGCTCATTTGGTGGAATTCTTGGAGAAGCTGGTATAACTGTTGGTATACATGTTTTTATGGGAGATTGTGCTGGGGAAGCTGGTAGTTGAGGATAAGCTCTATGAGCTGCTATTTTCTCAAGCATAGCTTTTGCAGCCTCATGTTTTGCATCTTTTTTACTACGTCCAGTACCTGTTGCACTAAGTCCTTCACATGTAACACGGTAAGTGAAAGTATTCACGTGTGTGCCTCCACCATCATGTATTAATTCATAATTTGGTATCATTTGCATTTTCACCATCATTTCTTGTAGTATTGAAACAGGTGTCTTACTCATACTGATTGACTTATGATCTTCATAACATTAAAATCTAAAATACAAACAGTTTCTTCAAATTAATCAAATAATATAGACGTCTTATATATTTTCAATAAATATTTTTCGATATACTTAATTAAAGATTCGTTGACAAGGAAGAATGCATAAAAAAGAATGTTATTATTTAACTTCATTTAAAAATTGAATATTTTACCTGTTAACCAGGAAAAAAACTACGATTGAACAGCAAATAAAAATGAAATGGTTAAGATATAGATAAAAACTTTGGATAAACCGTTAAATAAAAAATTGGGAAATGTTTTTTTTTTTTTTCTATTGCAGCACTTACAAATTATCTATATATTAATTTGTCAGAAGGAAAAAGAAATTATTGTAATAAATTACTTTTTTCCTCCCAGGTTAACAGGTTAAAATTATAAATATTTACAAATTATATAAATATAGTCTTACTAATACTATTTAATACCAACTTGAGCTTTTTGTTACCAACAATAATTTTACTTACCCATCATTGTATAGTAACTGTATCGCTCACCAGTAACTTTAATTATCCATCAAAATTTCATGTATTAATTTACTACTACACATATTGATTATATTAGTATTTATTTTAGTAAAAAAGGTTAAAAAAGTAATAATAGATATGACACAACAAATTATCAAATATTACACTTTATCAGCTGAACAGTAGACGTTTGTATCTTAATTGTATTTACAACTGCATACGTATTTGCGAATGGCGCTGTATAATAGAGAAGTCGCTGTATAATAGCACATGAAAAATTTATATATAGATACATTTATGCTAAATTTATAATATATATATATATATATATATATATATATATATATATATATATATATATATGAATATGTATAAATTGTAAATCATTATTTAAGTTAGCAAAAATTCATTACATAGTATATAAAATAACAGATAACGATAAGATACCGCTAAATACTGAAAGTAATATAAAATAGAAAAAAAACATTGAATTATTTTTTTCTATTCTTTAACTTTATTTTTCCTTTTACATACATTTTTTGTGAAAGCTCAACGAAAGAGCAGATTTTAATTTTTAAAAATAATGATATCTCAATATTGAAAGAAAAATTTATCATGTTTACGCTTTTTTAAAGTACAATTTTATTGGAAGAAATATCTAATCTGTTTAAAAAAGACCGTTATATTATTAGATAACGAGATTTTATATAATTATTACATTGTTGCCACATTATTTTCAAATAGTCAAAGAGATATGACTATTTAGATAGTTAATATCTTTTTTTTTTTATCTCATTGCGAAATTTATCTAAAAAGTTATGAAAAAGAATGATCGATTTTTAAAATCACCTAGAAATTTTCAGGTTACCTAGGGATATTTGGAACATCCTATATTTAATATTAAATATTTATCAACTGCTTTTAAAAATAAAAAAGTACGCTTTTCTTTCTTTCTTTAAACCTAATAAAAATTCAAAATATTACATTCGTAATATGAAATTTGGATATTGTTTAAAAAATTGTTAGTGATCATAAAAAACAAGCAGATGTCGCAATTGCACATAGCCATTGTTAGCGAAGTTATCGAATAAATGTAGATTTTATATTTACTTTTGAACGTATTTTTCGTTAACAAATTGTTTTATTGGTTTGTAAATAGTGAGAAGTCACTTAATTGGTAATTAGTATATCTAATAGAGAAAAAGAAAAAAAAAGTGAAATAATATTGGTATTACAAATAGCGTGTCTCATTTTCAAGCTCGTGCCACCCGCCATAACGAACGCTTCTTGATACGAATAGTTCGTTTGAATGAATCTTTCGAACGTGCTCGGGTTTTGTTAATTGGTGTGAGTTTTTTGGTGTGGCATTTTTAATGCGCACAAGATAATTGCATGCGAATTGACTTATGGTGACAATTTGAAGTCATGGAAGTGGCACGAAAGTTGCATTTTGATGCGTGTGATATAGAAGATGAGGAACTTAATATAAGCAGCCTTGGAAACAACTCGAGTTGCGATATCGAAGATGTTTTTGATTCTTCGACCGAGTATTCCGGATGCTTATCTACACTTCAACCGAAAAAATTGTCTTTCACTAGTCCACCTGCCTGCGATCTCAATGAAACCTTTACAGTACCACACAATAATAACAAAACACCGGCCATCAATGTGACAGGTTAGAAATAAAAAAAAATAATTTAATAAATATATATATAGATAACGTGTGTGTATAAATATATGTAGACGTATTCGAATACACACATACATATATACACACTAAATATTTGTAAACAAACATTAGTATATTTGCAATTGAAAACAATGCTATCAATGAAATATTAATCATTAGAATGCAGTCTGCTTTGTCTTATGATATATTTATATCTATTTGCTTAAAACATCTATTAGCTATACAATTAAGAGAATTCTTTAAATAGAATTATATGTGTGTGTTCAAAACATTAAGGTTAACTTATAGGTAGTTCCTTAATGTATCTTGTGGATATAAGAAGATTTATTATTTAATTTTATACCAAATACTTTAATACCTCAACTTATAATATAGGACCTTCTGGAATAAAAATTCCATCTCGTGAAACTGGCTGTTCACAAAAAATGTCTCTGGCTTGTAGCCCACCATACAAGCGTGTCAGAGCATTAAGATTGTTTGACTCACCTGCTACACCTAAAACTTTAATGGAAAAAAGTACAATGCATACTCCACTTCCTTCTAAATGTACTAGACTTTTCTCGCTAGAGAAGCCTAGACCTGTAGCTAGCAGTTACCAAAGTAAATCAGATAGACCTGCAGCCAATGTTAATCCCTTTACACCAAATGGAATGTTATTAACAGCAAGAAAGAGAAGTAGATCAAAGCGTAGTCTTAATGGGTATAGATATAAACTATTCTGTATTGTAAAATTTATTTCATTTTATATTTTATGAAGTATGTCTAATTTTTGTTTTTTTTTTTTTTTTTTTTTTTATGTATATATCAGATCTCCTGATGTTCAAAATAATAAATTTGATCTTGCTGACTCTGAGGATTCTGAAAATGAAATAGAGCAACCAACTAAACGTGTAGCTTTACATGAATCTAACATTCCCAGGTACCATAGAGAGTTCCATGAACTTGGTTTAATTGGTACTGGTGAATTTGGTTCTGTTTATAAATGTATTAATAGATTAGATGGATGCGTTTATGCTATTAAAAAAAGCATTAAACCTGTAGCTGGAAGCATAAATGAAAAAAATGCATTAAACGAAGTATATGCACATGCTGTTCTTGGCAAACATCAACATGTTGTACGATATTATTCGGCATGGGCAGAAGATAATCATATGATTATACAAAACGAATATTGCAATGGTGGTAGTTTGGCAGATGCCATTTTAACTTTGCAAAAAGAAAAGAAACATTTGTCTGAAGCAGAAATGCGCCAGTTATTGTTACATGTTGCTGAAGGTTTAAGATATATCCATAGTGTCCAGTTAGTACATATGGATATTAAACCAGGAAATATATTTATTTCAAAGGAGAAAAGGCTACTTGCTGTTAATTATGATTCAGCTGATGATGGTTTTGACGAAGAAGAAATTGTTGAAGAAGAAATCACATATAAAATTGGAGATTTGGGTCATGTAACATCTATTAGTAATCCACAAGTTGAAGAGGGTGATTGTAGATATTTGCCAACTGAAATCTTACATGAAGATTTCAATCATTTAACAAAAGCTGATATCTTTGCCTTGGGTCTTACGGTATATGAAGCTGGTGGTGGTGGTCCACTTCCCAAGAATGGTCCAGAATGGCATGATATTAGAAATGGAAATTTAAAAGAATTATCGCCTTATAGTAGAGATCTCAATGATTTGCTAAAGGTAAGTTTTTGTAAATTGATTACTGCATAAGAAGTTATAATATTTTTTTTACTAGCATGATATATTAGTACTATTTAAGAAGAAAAATAATATTCTTTACAGTTAATGATTCATCCAAATCCTGAAATGAGGCCTTCAGCTATATCACTTATTCAACACAGAGTACTATGCCCATATGGAAATAAAACAAAAGCTCAGCTTCGGCGTGAATTAAATGCTGAAAAATTGAAAAATGAGATTTTATCAAAGCAATTACAAGAAGCAGCAAAGTGTATTAAAACATTTGCTCCAAACGTAGCTGCAATAAATGGCACAGTAAATTCTGAAAGATATAGATTAAGATCTGCAACAAATAGAATCTCAAACAGAGCTATTGGCAAAAAGGTCAATCGTAGCAATAGTACTACAAATTTTTAAATGTTATGTATTGCTTTTACACTTTATTAAGAATACAAAGAAGATAAAGGTGCTACAGAATAGTAGTTCTGCAAAGCATTTTCATCTTAATATTGTGATATCGTATTAATTTTAGTTTCTAAATAAGGGTAAGCCAGCCAATTTATAAACTTCATATCATTGTAATATTATAGAACATTGATTTCATTCTTATTTATAAAATAGATTTATTATTATTAAATCTTGTTTTGGAAGGTAAGTGGATTTTGAAATCAACAAGAAGAAACAATACTAAGTGTAATTTATAAGTAACATTTGATACAATGGTAATATTTCAATGATATAAAGTGCAGTGTGTAATTGCATGGAACTATGACTACTACTTTTTACTGTGATGAAGACTATTTAGTGTTAAACAAAAACTAGGAATTTTACTTGAGGAATTTCTTTTGCTTTTGTTGTTCAGAACATCTTGAACAAAGTAAAATCACAAAATATTTCATGTTACATAGCTCTATTATTCTTGATTATCACTGTTACGAATATATTCATCTTTTTTTACTGAAGAATACAGTTGATGAAAGTAGTAATATCAGTACAACATGACATATAATGATTTATTATGATGGTTGTACATTTTCTAAACTTCTGTGCAAAATAAATCAATGCACTTAATGTTTATAAATCCAGTAAATGAATTTAACCAAGAAAGTATTTTTGCCATTTAAATTTCATCAATTTTATGTCTTCTTAAATTTATCATTTTATTAGATATTAAGTATCATTATTTTACCAAGGGATTAAGGTATCAGTTAAATTGAAATTATGCTGTGTTAAATTTATAACATAGCCTTTTTTTTGTGTACATTAGCAAATAACAGCAAACTTTGTGTGAATTTGCTTTATCATTATTAATTTTTTTCTTTTTCCTTTTTTTTTTTTTTTTTTTTTTTTTTTTTTTTTTTTTTTTTTTGCAAAATATGTACACAAGTCTTATCTTTGATTTTTTTTTCTGTGTGTTACAAATTATTACATTTATTTCAATTTTATAAATTTGATATTTCTTGCATGTTCACAATTATTTTTATTGTTTTATCTGAATATTAATTCGTAATACATTTATTATCCATGATTCATTGACATTAACAATACTTACTATTTTTCGTTTTAGAAAGCTTGCCCTATCCTTAACTAGTTTATTAAATCTAAACATCATAATGATAAAAGAACACTTTTTTTTTTTATCTATATTCACATGTATTAATATTTATAAAGGCTCAATTATTAATTTAGTATTAATTACTCAGTAAAATAGACTCCACATGACTAAATTCATTTAGTATTTTTCTGGCAGTGACTGAGCGCATTTTACACAAATTTAATGTGCTTTTAATTTATATTTTTCAGACATATTATATCATTTTTTGATGCATGTAATTAAATATAATAAAGACAAAAAAGGTTGTGTCAATTAAATAATAAATTTTTGTTCCATAAATTTTAAATTTAAAATATTTTTAAAAAGGTTTTTTTTTTACAATATAGTTATCTATAATACGAACATTCATCAGGTATTGAATCATACTTATTTGTAGTATGTTTATGTTCATAATAAGATATTTAGCTATAATAAACCATGTTTCGTTGAATGGACAACTTCTATGTAATAAATATTGTCAAGTTTTTTAATTAGCATGAGATAAAAATAAATTCAGCTGATTATAGTTATGTATGTATCAGTTTTAGTACACAATTTCTGCATTGTGACAGAGTATTCAAAAATTATATATTTTTTACATCATTATTTTGCCTCGTTTTCAAACAATATTGAAATACAAGCCTAAAATAGAATGTATAATAGCATGTGTAGCATTACGACTTTAAAGTTCGCATTTATTATTCAAATGATATATGAATTTATTTCTTTTAACAAGTCTTTGTAGTACCTAAATTTGTCTTATATAACACAAATTTTGTTCAATTCCGTTTTCTTTGCTTTTGTTTATTAAGCATAAGGAATATAAAAGAATGTTTGGATTAAACATTTAACTTTAATAAAATTTATTGCTTATTTTGATTCATTTTATATGTAAACAATAATAAATTTTGTAACATGTTTGTATCACAATAACGATTATATAACCTAATATTAAGTTTGTAATAATTTTAACTTACATATAATTACATTTGTAAACCATCGTTTTTTTTGTATTTAGACCTAAGTTGATCTATCATAAAACTTACCTATATAAATTAGGTAAGTAAAACAATGGAAGTTAATATGTGCCAATGAGGATGGATCCTGATTCCTGGCAGAGAACTGATGTTTTCCATTTTTCATATAAATATAGTATTATTTTTTTATTACTAATAATATAATTATTACAATAAATAATAATAAATTACAGTATCTTTTTTATTTATTTTTATAATATATGATTTCCATAAAATTTGTCGCAATCATGCAAATTTAAAATTGCAATGGAAAACAGTAGATACGGAAGAGACATTTTATCAAAAGTAAAGAATCATGACAATATACAAAATAAGAGAAATGCAATTCTCTTTCAATATAGTTCTTAAATATAAATATGTTCCATTTTCTGGTTCATATTTTTTTATTTTTATACGTGAATAAGATGTGTAAATTATTACTTTCATAAAAAAACGTTTTAGTTTCTTTTTTTTGTAATTGTAATTGTTTTCATATTTAAAATAACTTTACACTTCTTCAACTACTAATGTATCAAGTTCTTCTTGTCCCGGACATAAAACAGAGTCAATATTATAAAAAGTTGCATGAAGTGTTATTAGAAACAAGGATGCGCCTGTAATAAACATACATATATTTAAATTTGTTCTGATTCTTTTAGTATCTTTATATAAATATCAAGTCATAGTAATGAATATAATTTTTCTTTATCTTACCAAGTACCCAAAACAAATATTGTCCAGCACCAACCAAATAAAAGAAAGGTAATGAACAAATCCCAATTAATGCATATAATTGAGCTAAAGTTAATCTATGACCAAGAATCAACAATCTTTTATTAGCATGCCATTTAGTTACCATATAATAAATTCCAAAAAGGATTATAATAAGAAAGAGTAATAGACCCGATGTAATCCTAAAATAACATTGTACAAATAACATTAGGTATTTAAAATATGACAATACAATATAAAAGTAACATTAACATAAATTATAAATTTGATAATTTATATATATACACTATTCCTTATTAAATAATTTTTCTCAATAAATTCTATATTATAAATATTATTCATAGAACTTACAAACAATATATAAATAATCCAATGAATACAAAGAGATAGTTGCTCTGGAAGTATTCAATGTTCTTCACTATTCTTTTACTTAATATTGACACGCTTTGAGGTGATCGTACATAATTAGTATTTAGAAATAATCTCCAAGGTTTTATATTAGCTTTCGTATATTCAATCAATGCTTGAACTTGAGGATATCCTAACTTACTAAATTGAAGTTGTGGCAATTGTAAGAAATTAGATCTAATAATATAAACAGATTAAAAAAATTAGTTATATTAAATTATATGTTAATATATACATACTACGTATACAAATATGGTAATAGATTGCAAAAAACATATGTGTATATAGATATGTATATTATGTTTTAAGTGTATCTTTACCCGCTTATGTTATTATTTTTAGGTGGTTGAACTTGCATCTTTCCTGAAATTGTAATATTCGTATCTATTATTTTAGACTTTTATAAATATAAATAGCACCAATTGTATTAAAATATAGTAATATTTCAGTTCGACCAAAAATGCAATTGAAGCTAGATATATATATATAAATATTCTGAGAATAAATATTAATCATATATTGTTGATTATCAAACAAAAATTATTGACATATTTGAAACAAAATAACAATAGAATTTATAACGTTAAATTCATATGTTGATTAAAATTTTTCATTCTTTTTTAAAAAATATTTTTCACCAAAATTCAATTAAAAAGAATAGGATAAAAGCAGCCGAAAAATGTTTTAAGCATCTCAATTGTTTCCATTGTTAAACTTTATTCATTTCCGATATTCAGAATTTATTACTTCTCTAGGGGAATTTGTTTCGCTTAAATTGTAACCATGATGTCTGCTCCTACTTAATAGTTCAGAATAGTTAAGAAAATGAAAATGGCCGATTAAAGTTATTGTCAGAATGTGTAATATAAAAATAAGTTATTTTACAATGGAATTCTTCGAGAATATTTTGAAATTAAGACAGGGTAATGCGACCAAAATTGTACAATATAATGGTGATACACTTATTACAGACAGCTGTAGAGGTTTTGCTAACAAAAGTTGGTTTCGACATTCTGAAGAAAATTTCATTTGCAATTACGCCTGTAGAGCCTGTCAGCATTGTAAGTTATCGATACAATCAATATATTATAAATTTTATTTAATTTATCGATAATTTATTTACAATTATTGTTCTTACATATCTAAGCTCGCTTGGTGCAAGGAATTTGTCCCCGCTAAAATGCTTTTGGCAGACTCAAGGCCGTTTAGTAACGGCCACGTTACGACTGACGAGGAATATAATTTTAAACGAAATACATTTCGACCACGTTTAATATCAGAAAGTTCGGTCGTTTCAGAAGACAATTATGAGATTGTTTTCGAAACAGATTCTGAAAATATTTATGACAGCGATTTTAATTACAGTGAATCGACCGATGATAGTCAAAATGAAAATGAAAGTGAATGTGAAATAACTCAAAATGAAAATACATATAATTATCAAACTCGTAAGGTAAGAACTTGAAATAATGAAATATATATATATATATATATATATATATATATATAGAGAGAGAGAGAGAGAGAGTTTTTTAACAAATTTTTATAGTTTTTAAAATTTTGTTTTAACATAATAAAGATATAAGATATGAATCATATTAATTATATATAAATACTATAAAATGACGTGTAATACTTCAAAATCGCATAGTCATGTCTGATGCAATAATAAATTATCCTTTATTGCCATGAAATACTAATAAAATGTTACAACATATGTTTTATTACTAACATTATTTTGTATGTTATTATTTTATCACATTGATAATATATTGCAGGTGACATTTAATCTGACACCAGTTGTACATACGATGGTACAGTGGGACTATGCATATCGTGCTGCTCGGAAAGGTCCATGGGAGGAAATGGCCAGAGATAGAGAAAGGTTTAAAGGACGCATTAATTGTATTCGATGTATCCTTGAACCTATTCTACAAATTCAACATCGCACTCATATATGGCAAGAACGATTTGCATAGTGGGATCAATAATTGTTTATTATCTGTACAAAAGAAAATTTTTCACGAAGGTTGCTGAAATCACTAAGGAAAGGGATAAATATTTTGCAATAAAAGATAATATGTATAATAAAAGTCTTCCAAAAAGAAAATAGAAAAAGGCTGTGAATGTATAGTTTAGAACAGGGATTCCCAATAGTTACTAAATTTAAATAAAAAAACATATAGAAATCTTAATAATATATGTTCAATAGTATGAAGTAAATGATGAAAAAAAATTTATATTTCTTGTTTAATTGCAATAACAATTCTTTTACAGAAAAAAATAAAGTTGTCAATAGACAATGCATTGATCTAAATAAGAAACTATGGAAATTGGAGTAAAGAAATCATTTGATGCATGCAATGGGTCACATTCAAAAACACTTTTGATATAAGATATTTGTAATTTTAATTTAAATATGTGGGATCCCAGTATTTCTTCACAGTTTCATATTTTTATTCAAAAGGGTTAAAAGATTTGTTATTTGTAATTACTTTTGGAACTTAAATATATTACTAAAGAGACCAGATAAATTGCATAAAATAATAAAATTAGAAGTTTCCATAATAATTTCAATTTTAGCAAACATTTTTTTATGATTCTAAATATAATATTATATATAAGCGATATATTATTTCAATATTATCTAAAATGTATATTTATAAGTGCATTCAAATAATTTCTTTCGCGTAATATTAAACTAAATTGCCGAGCATAAGTAGAATCATTGATAGCATTTGGAATATGTCTAATAACAAAAACATATTTTTTATATTATGAAAACCAAAGAAGTATAGTTATGTGTCATTGAAACATGCAAAATAAAACACTTAAGTCATTCTTATAACGCATTTCTTTATTAATGTATTGATATCTATTATAATTATTATCTTAAACTTAGAAATGCTTTGTAGAAATTTTAATGAATTATTGAATTTTATTTCAATTAATATTTGTAAGTAGCAATTTTTGAACGATAATGAAATACATATTTTTAATTTATAATAGAAAATGAAATAAGAGATAACAAGTTTATGATCCAAGTTATATATCCCAAAAAATTCAGCAGCCTTGTGAAAGGTATTGAAGATTTTTCTTAAAGCGTTTAAGCTTAATTTGGAGGAAATTTTAAAAACAAAAAATATTATATACAGGATGATATATTTAAATGAGAACATTCAACAATTCTTTATTGTTTATTAATTAAAGCTAGATATTTAAAAAGAAATCATTTTAAAGAAAAATCTTCTACCACCATATTTATCTTTTCATATGCTATAACTTTATCCTAAAAAATAATATTTTACATTAATAAGCAACGAAGATGTTTAGATGGTTTTCTTTAAATGTTTCAACCTGTATATTTGTAATATGTATCAAAATTAGATGAAAATGCTATAAATCAGTAAACTCATACTCGACATATTGACAGCACATTTCCGCGTGTTTTTGTTTTACACATTTTATGTAATATATATGTATATGTGTTATATAATATATATGTGTATATATATATATATATATATATATATATATATATATATATATATAACATTAAATTATTATACAAAAATTATTTTAAACTGCATAATTATCAAATGTATATAACAGATTTTTAATGTATCACAATACGTTCACAGTACAAATATTATGATTTTTATGCGCACCATATAAATATGTATATATATTATATGTATATGAGAAAAATACGTAAACTCAATAAATTCAACGATTTGAGTAATAAATAATATAGGTGCGAATTGAAAAAATGCGAGAAGAAATGGGCAGAACGTGGAACGATATGTGCGATACGTAACTTCACTGCTATTTTTAAATCCGTCAATAGTTGACTAATCAAAAATCACCGTTTTATATGCTCTTCACATTCCTAAAAAAAATATACTTCTCTACTAGTAACAATAATTAGTAACAATACTAGTAACAATACTAGTAACAATACATAGATTAAAGCGTTCTGTTTATTAATAATAAAAATCGTTTCGCTGTAATAATATGCGCGATCGAAAATGATAGAAACGTGCAAAATTTTGTACATTACTCAATAAAGCTTTGTATAAAACTTAAGAAGATTATTTCACGAAAGAAGCAATCTGGATCAGTAAATATTTGACATTTTTAAATAATTCATTTTATGATCATGTATAATTCTCCTTTTTCATTTTTATATTTTGAATAGTTATTATTGTTAACAATTCATCGTATAGGAAATTGAAATATCAATAAACAAAAAATATATATGAAACGAATGTGTTATATAAATAAATGAAATGAAAAATTTAAGTTAAACGTATAGAAACAATCATAGCTATACATGCATATAAAACAGTCATTCAAACGATAATGTAAGAAAATGATGAAACAATCGACTTTGTCTCGTCAACTTGCGTATCTTCATAAACACATTCTTGATTTATTTGACTTTGTAATGGCTATTTATCCTATTATAAGAATCTGATCTTTCTATTTTAAAAATAGATCACTTTTTGTGATCTCTAATCTTTTTCTCGTACTTTCTTAAACTCCATTATTACTACATACGAGATCATTTTATTTTTTATACACATTTTTATCTCGTATAAAGATTTACTCAAAAGAAGATAATGACGCGACACTTTCTGATAAATCAAATCAATGACGATGACGAATTAATATCTTATTGTGAAGAATGCATTCGTACATATGTATATATGTATATACGATGCTAGTGAAAGCGTGTGTAAAATGGTAACCATTTATAAATATGTGTTATGGACATTCGATGGCATAAGTAATCTTATATTTCTCCTTTCACTATGATATATCGAGATTGTGGTTATGGATATGCTTATCATTATGTTTGAAATATTCTATAAAACGCTAGATTAATAAAGAGAGTATCAGACAAAATTGATTCTTAAAAACAATATTAGCTTACATGATTTCGCTCATTACACAGATGATTAACAAATTTTAATAGAAAGTAATTTTCATATATTTTTTTGTATGTTATATTCTTTCTCTTTTTATGACCATAAAATGCGATATTAAAAGAAAATAAAATAAAATAAAAAAAAAGGATCTAAATTGATCTAAATACGATAAATCTAACGATCGTTACTTTTAATATATAAAGAAAAATTTCGACATTCTCTTTAGACATTTAAAATTGCTATACAGATGATTTTGTTTTGTTAATTTTCTTTAAGAAAAAGAATTTTTTTTTTTAATAATATAATATATCCAAACAATAATACATGTATATATGTATATATATATATATATATATAGATAAAAAAGGTGAAAATTATCTATATCTGTTTCGATAAGTATCGACGCGATGGCGTGACTCGTATCATCTGGCTTCTTATTTTTCTTCGATACGACGTAATTACTGTTTCTATCAAAATCCAGCCATATTGTTATACTTTGAAATTTCAATCTCCCACTCCCGAGCAAGTGTACTTTGACGACGATGTAAACACTGTGCACATATATAAGCAAGGCGAATGGAAAGATTACGGTTCTTTTCGCTTTCAATGTAAAACGTGAAAAAATCTCGATTTTGTTTTTAACAGGATAAAATTTGCGTGTCGACACCTTCCTCTGCGATTAATTTGAATTCATATTACATTAGAATTAACACTAATAAGTATCATTGTACGTGATTGATGCATTAGAATATGCGAAAAAACAAAAATTGAGAATAAATCATTAAATGACAAATTTCATAAAAGTACACATTCGTTGATCTTATTAAAAATTTCATTGATGTTTAAACTTTTTTCATTAATCCTTTTCGAACGTATATTATTAAGTTCAATATGATAATTATATAAAACAATCCGAACTAGAGAGATTCTAGGAACAGAATTCTAGGAATGGAATAGAGTGAGGAATTCTAGTTATGATTCTATTTAATTTGATATATAAAGTATATCTAGTTATTTCATGACCAGCAAAAAATCTTTTGCGAACTAGCGAATGATATATTCGAAAGAAGAAGATAAAAAGAAATAGATAGATAAAAGAAAGACGTCTCTTAAAGACAACATCTTGGAGAATAAACACAGCAATATAGAGAGTGACAACGGGAATGTTTTTACAATTGTCCGATGAGGTATATAATTCGCGAAAGACAGAAATTCATCATCAATGTACGAAGTTCCATCCACGATGAAGATATACTTGGCATATTTTCTTCTTTGGGGTTTCATAAGCAACCAGCAGTCGGTTAAAGCTACGGAAGTTGAATCTTCGGCATCAGCATTGGCTGATGGCTCGAGCGTTAACAATGACGCGGCTGTCCTTGGCTCAAGTTCATACAGTTGGTCGCCCAGTGATGATCAAAAGTCGATTGACTCGAACTCGTCTAATTTGATAAAAGCAAAATCGGATGGAGAGATTTTAGCGAAAGCGATTTTGAACAAACCGGTAGGTCCGAAGAGCGAAGTAGGATCAACAGGCACAAGTTATGGGGAAATTAATCCTGTTCTACAGGATGATCATGTTCCAGAGAGCGGCGCATCGTTGGAGGCGACGGCAGAGGCGCAAACGAAGGAAGAATCAAAGGTTCAAGCTCGTGCCATGGAGGACAAAGCGAATAATGAAGTGAAGGCGAGAGTGAAAGCCGATGCCGAAGCCGATGCCGAAGCCGAAGCCGAAGCCGAAGCCAAACCCGAAGCCAAAGCCGAACCCGAAGCCACAGCCGAACAAGATAGAGCTCGAGTAATAGCCGAAGCGAAAACTCGTACCGAGGTCGAAGGTAGAGTGCAGACGGAGGTAGTTCGTCGAGCGTTGGCCCAGGCAAAAGCGGAAGCGAAGATACAAGCGAGTAAGGCAGCGAAAGCAAAGGCTAATGCTCTCGCGAAAGCGGAAGCTTACGTGAAGGCATCTGTAGCTGCTAATAAAGCTGCCGCGGATGCGGCCGAGAAGATGAAAAGAACTGTGACTGCGCGAATGGAGGCTACTATGAAATCAGTCGCCGCCCAAGCAGCACTTTCCGATGAAGAGATGGCATCTATGCGTGCAGTTGCCTTCGCGGCTGCGGTCCAGGCTGCCCAAATGCAAGCCTTGATCGCCGCCCGAGCTGGGGCTATTGCACAGAAAAAGAGTTTCTTTCAGGCTTTAACAGCGAGCAAAATGGTCACAGCGAACGCACTTGCTGCCAATATAGTCGAGGGCAAAGCGATCGTCGCTAAACAGAAAGTCAAGGAAGCTACGAACGAAACTCAAGCGGCTATTCTAGTTCAATCGATGGCCAACGACGAAATGTCAACGGCAACCTTAGTTCAAAATGAAGCTTTACCGGCAGCCATTACCACAAATGTTTTGCAAATCGCCGCACTCACGGAAGCTAATGCCGCGTTACAGGATATTCTTGCGGTCGACGTTCGTCAGGCGGAACTTTCGATCCCCGAAAGAAATCCTTTGAAAGCATTTATCCCAATTGATTACGAGGATTGATTTATATCCTCCTTTACAAACCTATTGATATATGCTCTTTCTCGTGAGCATTATAAAATACAGTTGTTAAGAAAAACGAACTTTTGCATATTCAATAAAGCGAAATCGAAAGTAAATCGAAAACGAATTGCTTGTTTGTTAATTTTATTTTCTCATTACATCCAAAACTGTTCCTTTGCGTTTTTACGATCATAATAAAATTTCACATACGTATAATGCACGAATAAGAATTTTCTTTGTAGACAAAATTTTTCTCAAATAATTGTTCTCTAGTTGTTTCCGTGTATATATTGAAAATCGAGCATTATTCTTTACTATTTTATCCAATTTAATATTAATAGCTATCACAAAAAAAAGTACGTATTTATATTGCATATACATACACATTTAAGCTTTATCATTCTATCAAAATGTTTTATTTTATAAAATATCAAACGAATTATCATTAATGTCGATTATTTAAAAAGGTAACGTTTTTTATTAACATTAAAAAGTAAATTTGTATTTATCGTTTTTATCATTCCTTTCGTGTGACTAAAGTAGAATACAAAGCATACATTCTTTTACGATATAATTTAACGAATATTAAGATCGTGCTGAAAACATATTTTAAAATAATATATTACCACTAATATGGTATCATATTAGCAAGAAGATAGCAAGAAGATAGTAAGAAGATATATTTTTGGAAAGTAATCAATGTCGAAACTAAAAGTTAGGGTATACTTCAAATTTCATCTCTCGTAGCACTCATGCGAACTTATTCAAAGAAACTCGAATATGTTTGTTTCTTCATATGTACGAACTCGGAACATCATTAAGGCATTGATATAATTTCATGTAAAAACTAATGTTTATATTTCGAATGGAGGAGGATGCATTGATGAAGAGTAAACAAAAATTTAATATGAGGAACATATATACGTAAGGAGAATTGAGTTTAAGAAACATACGAATTGTGATAATCGGGGAAGAGAGTCTAGACGTTGATTTTTCAAAAGAGGGGGAAGGATCTGCAAGTGTTCGGAGATTACTGAAACAATATTTTCGGAGGGAATTGACTTGTAAATGTAGCTTGAAAGCACACATTCCTCATAGTATTTAGACAATTGCGGACGAATCGGTATATAACGAGCGGCCGCGAGGGAAGATCATCAATATTCGAATTCACAATCGAAGATGAACATCCTAACGATACTCGCGACAACACTTCTTCTGAGTGGCTTCGCCACGGCAGCAGAAAGCTCAAGCTCAAGCTCCGCGGCATCTTCGGCTTCATCATCATCCTCAGAGAGTAGAGGACAGTTGTTGCTTCCGTTAGAAAGGAGTTCTACCAGAAGCTTACTGGATTTGGTGAGCAGTGCTAGGAGCAATGCTGCGATAACCGCATCGTCCGCAGCCGCTGCAAAGGCAACTCTTCGAGCGAGTAAAGCCGCGAATTCCGCTCAAGGAGAAGCTTTGGCACAGGCGACTGCTTCTGCGGCTTCGAATGCAAAGGCACGCGCAACCGCGGCCGCTGCAGCGCAAGCCACTAACGCAGCCGTTAACGCGCAAGGGAAGGCTTCCGCGCAAGCTATTGCAACGGCGGAAGCAGCAGAAGCTCTGACTAAATCGGCACTCCAAGCCCAGTCCGCTGCGAGCAGCTCTAAATCAGAGGCAGCCCAAGCTTCAACCTCAGCTAATGCCGGAGCTAGTGCTCTTGCGACTGCTTCTGCTCAGGCCTTATCCGCGAAGAAGGCAGCCCTGGCCTACGCCTCTGCTGCCGCTGACGCAAACACCGCAGCGGCCAAGGCTCGTGCCGCAGTTGCTGCTGCAGAAGCAGCCACTCGTACAGCAGTACAAGCCGAAAGAGACTCCACAAATGCAGCCTCTCTCGCGGCTAAAGCCCAAGCTGAAGCCAGAGCTGCTGCAGCCGCTGCTGCAGCAGCGAGACTCGCCGCATCAGCAGCCGCCGATGCCAGCGCTCAAGCCGATGCAAGAGTCAGAACCGCTTCCATTGAAGCTGCCGCCAGCACTCGTACCAAAGCATCCAATGCTCAAGCCACAGCCGAGGCTGCAGCCATAGCCAGGAGCAGCTCCAGGGACGCACAAGCAAACTGGGTTGACAACAGGTCTTCTGCATCATCGTCCAGTGCATCGGCCAGTGCATCGGCTAGTGCATCAGCCAGTGGAGAAGCCGATTCAGAAGCCGATTCAGATGCTATTGCATCAGCTCGTTCAGCAGCCGATTCTAATATTGGTTCATCTTCCGGTTCAGCCGCCGATTCAGCCGCCGGTTCATCCGCCGGTTCAGCTGCCCGTTTAAGTGCCGGTTCTGCAGCCGGTTCAATAGCTCGTTCAGCTGCCGGTTCTGCAGCCGGCTCATCAGCTGGTTCAGGAGCCGGTGCATCAGCTGAAGGTTCCTCCAGTGCCTCCTCCGGTGCCTCCTCCGGTGCTTCCGCCGGAGCCTCCGCTGGTGCCTCCGCCGCTGCTTCTGCCGATAATTCCGCCGATAATTCTGCCGAAGCTCTTTCTAGCTCCTCCGCCGAATCTTCGTCGTCCTCCTGGTCTTCTTCCAGCCAGAATATTTGGTCCCAGGATTGGTAGATCGAAAAAATGAAAGCTACCATATTCACCCAACAAATCATTTCGATGAGATATCTACTTTGAAGTAGCTTACCCAGCGAATTCTTGTACAGAAATGTCTAAATAATGTGGAATAGTGTCTAAATTGCTCTCAAATTGTAATAAAAATAAATTTGAATCTAGCATGTATATGATTTTATCATCCTCTATACTTTACATATCTTACTTTCGTTTCGTTAAACGTTTCATGACAAACGTATCAAAATAATTCAGAGGATAGAAAAGAAGACACGTTACGATGGATCTGCTATAATTGCGTTAACATTGCCAATTAATTATCTCTTTTTTCGGGCAGAAATTGCCAATTAATTATTTTTTTTTTCGGGCAAAAATTGCTGATTAATTATCTTTTTTTCGGGCAGAATTCAATACTTATATCTAACTTCTCCTGATTTGATTAATTAAGTTTAAATTAGTACTATATTAAAAAAATAAATAATAAGTTAAGATCAAATATATAGACAAAGAATTTAATATATATAACTATATGATATATACATATATATATATATATATAGCTTAATAATTATATATTTATAACTTAATAATTATATATTTATAAGTTAAAAATTATTATTAATAATCGAATAAATCAATATATGTTACTTTTACTTGTATTTCAACAAATTTTACGTGTTTTTACCCTTCCATCAAATTTTCGACTCAATAAATAAAATTTGCATTTGATTATTAATTGCTTGACAAAAGGAAAACATTTTAATCTCTTTACAAATGTTGTTAATAAGTGTGATGTTTATTGTGACGTATATAATGTCTTAAATTTAATAAAAGATTTCATATAAATGAAATACATTTCTTCATTTCTACTTTTGTCAAAACGAAAAATTCATCAATTATGCATACAAGAATGAAATATTTATTGTTTCGATCACTGAAAAATATTTGGCATAGCTGCATAAATACGATTGAAAAAATTCATTTGATATCTTAATCCATCTGTAACGGCTCGTGGCGGAATTATTGAATCATCTATAAAGAATTTATATTTTTTTTTCATTTAATGTGAAAATAATGAAATATTAAACGTACAAACTAATATTTATTTGTATTTTTAATAGTTTTAATAACACGCCAAAAATTGCCTTCGATGATAATTTTTTATCGTTTATTTTAACTTGCTAAACGTATTGTTGCAATTGGTTCAACGAGCTTGTTATTTATTCGATATAAAATATCAACGTCCGAACGTTGTCTTCATTCTAAACATTTACAATAATCGTTATCGATTGTATCAATACGATAAAAATAATTATTAAGTATATTGTGCAAATTTTGCCAGAAGAATTAGGTAAACAAAAATACAAGAAAGATATATAATGAAATTCTCATGGCAACATAAGACTATGGTTTACAAGGCTGTGTCTATTAAGTAGAATCTTTACGACAAGTGGGCTTTGATTTTCTTTGCCAACAGTGACAAGTGCACGGTAATAAACAAAAGAGACTGCGGCGTGATTGAATCAACAGCGGGTTAGAGTAAAAGCGAAAAAAGGGGAAAAAAAGAGAGGAATTTGTATACGGTGCTATTGGATGAGTGGTGGCGAAAGAAAATATTTTAAAAGAAGTTGATTGGTGTATTAGGACGAAGAACAGTAGGATAAAGTGTTTATACAATTGTCGACGAACGTTGTAGGTATATAATCGCGTATTCGTATATGATTCAGTATCAATCTGCGAAGTACCATACAAGATGAACGTACAAGCGACACTCGTGCTTTGCCTGCTCGCATTGTTCGGCAGCGTGGCCCAAGGTGGGCCATCAAGGTTGTCTGAAACCAGTGATTCGTCCGCAGCATCTTGGTCCTCGAGTTCGTCTTCAAGCTCGTCCTTGTCCTCGTCTCTGGCTTCGGATTCTGCTTCTTCTTCTGCTTCGGCTTCGGCTTCGGCTTCGGCTTCGGCTTCAGCAAGTTCGAGAAACGATAACAGTAGAGTTAAGGCATGGAAGAAGGGTAGAGGAGGTAGCGACAGCTTGGTACTGTCGAGTGATTCATCAGAAGATTCAAAAGCCAGGGAACTCCTCGAGACAGACGCTGGATTGGGTGCGGCTGCTGCGTTAGCAAGAGCTACCGCGGATGCCCAAGCTAGAACAGCAGCAAGCGCCGATGCTACGGCTAATAAGGCAACTGCAAAGGCTCTTGCATTAGCCGAGGCTGCTGTAAGGGCGGAAAATGCAGCGATTCTAAGGATCCGTAGGGCCTTATCGGCAGCGCAAGCTCTCGTCTCGGCATCCAATCGTGCAAAGGCCGCAGCTAGAGCTGCGAGGGAAGCTGCTGCGAACTCTGCCGCGGCTGCCGCAAAAGCTTCCACTAATCAAGTGAAAGCCAACGCTGACTCGCTTGTCGCCAACAGAGCTGCAGCCGCTCTTCTTGCTGCTGCCGAGGAAGCCCTCCAGAAAGCCAGTGCTTCGCAGAATGCAGCAGCTGAAGCTGCTGCGAAAGCTCGTGCCGCAGCTAACGCGAATGCCGCAACCACCAGAGCCGCGGCCTCGGCCATACTCGCCGAAGCTCGTGCCAGAGTAGCTATCACGAAAGCAGTTGCCGCTCAATCAACGGCCTCCGCTCAGGCTTCTTCCGCCTCTCAAATACAAAATCGTGCGAATAACCTACAAGCCCAAATTGCTTCTTTAGCCCAATCCAGGGCAGAAGCCGCAATAGCTGCAGCCGCGGCACAAGCTGCCGCTGTCGCAGAAGCTAACAGTCAACTCGCTCGTCTCAGCAAGTCATCTGCAGGTGCCTCCAGCGAGGGTTCGGCTTCAGCCTCGGCATCAGCCTCGGCATCAGCCTCTTCGAGTAGTAGCAGCGCCTAACTACTCTAATTGACTACTACCTACCTTCGACGTCTCTGTGCGCTGCCCGTTTAACATCAAACCCTTTTTGTGGCACGCAATATCGCAGATTCACCAGATATGATCCTCAGTTTTGCCTAAGATAGGGCAATGGCAAAAAGCAGCAAAAGCAGATGCATTAACGATTCGAAAATTGTAATAATATCAATAAAATTCTTTTATCATCTCAAACATTTTCTTTATTTCATTATTTATGATTATCCTTATATTTCCTTTGATCTAACAAAAATTATATATGGATGATTAGATATTTAATATATGATGCTTCTGTTTGAAATTAAACCCATATGTTTCTTCGTTTAAAGTTTCGTTTACTACTTATCTTTGGACAATTACTATCTAAGTACAATTATTATGTGCAAAATAATGCTCTGTACTCAAGATCTTCGAATGTTCTGTATATGATTGTTCCACTTGTTTACACTAATGTACATATTATTGTAACATTGCAAAGATTTCAAATAAAATATATATTATAAAGAAAGAAATCTGTGTAATTAAATTTAATTGAATTTATTAGTTACTTTAAATCTATAGTGGCTTTTAAGATTGATTTCATGATTGTCATTATATCAATGATAAATCATTTATGACAATCATTCTTACGCTTATTTTAAACCTATAATTTTATATGATTTCCTTCTATACAAATCAGAAATTCTTTAATTCTGTTTCCGTTATAAATATTATGTATAATATTAATATCATTATTTTGTAATGATATTACATATTATATAAACATTATTATTTTATTACCAGAAAAAAAATTTCTTTTTGTTATGCTTGTACATTTATCCCATAGAGAGAATCGAGATTGCAATTTATTGTCTACAGAAATTTTGACAAAAATATTCTTCATTTTCGAAAATATTATTCATATATCATAATATCTAGGTAGATTTGTGTTGCTGCCGTTATTAGCAAGAGATACACGTTTGAAGCCAATCAAACTTGTTAAAAATGATGTTGATGTATAATGCGATATTATCAAAAATTTGAGAAAAATTTAAAAAAGGTTTGATTGACCTTGATTTTTACTGTCAATTTATATTATAATACTCACCGTTTTCTTTGAAAATCCGGTCGGCATTTACACGATAGACCGACGATATGACATCGTAATTTTGTAACTTTCTGATTATAATCATAACAAAAAAGAAATTGTCTTGAAATTATTTAAAACATCATAGAAAATAGAGGAACGAAAAAAAGAGGATAGCTCAAAAAAAAAGTAAGCGTCGGATGGTAGCGTTATCGGTACTCGGTAATATTTACGATAAATAAACGAGCTTATTATGACAATAGAATCGATAGCGGGAGGAAAATACATGCAGCAATATTTAGAGAAGCGCGGTAATCGCGTTGAATGTTTTCACAATTGCGTGTAACGGTATATAACCGGTGGATGATAGGTGGTTGTCACAAAGCTACGAAGTCCTGCGAAAGATGAAGATCCCCTCGATTCTCGTAACGTGCCTTTTTACCTGGGGCTTGGCTGCCGGGAATAGCAGCTCGTCCGCGGAATCTTCGGCATCGGCGACAGCGTCTTCAGATGCGTCCTGGAGTACGTCATCGAGATCGTCAGCTATTGGTAGAGCACCGAACGTGATCTTGAATAGGGCACCTCAATTAGGAGCTAGCGCGGCAGCGATCGCATCGGCTCGAGCCAGTGCCTCAGCAAATGCTGCATCAGACGAAAAATCTGCCCGAGAAACGCGAGCAACCGCTTTGGCCAGATCAAGAGCTGCTGTTACGGCGGCAGCACGAGCAGCCGCAAGGACGCAAGAAGCCGTCGCGGCGGCAAAAGCCGCAAGTAGGGCCCAAGCGCTTGCTGCTGCTAAATCTTCGGCGGCAATTTCTGCATTGGCCGCTGGAGAGGCTGCCGCCCAAAAAGCGGACGCCGCAGCTCTTGCCGCATTGATTGCTAATCAGAGATCTGCCAAAGCCGCAGAAAATGGTTTAGCAGTGCAGAATCGTGCGAATGGAGAAGCGGAACAGGCAAGTCGTGCGGCTGCTGCTAACCTTGCCGCGGCCATCCGTACACGAGACAATGCTCTCGAAACGAGAAAAGAAGCAGCTCGATTGAAGGCACTAGCCACAGCTGCCGCTAACGCTAATAACAAAGCGACCAGTCTTGCCGAAGCTTCTGCGAACCAAGCAGCTGAAGCAAGCTCCGCTGCCGAGGATACTTCTTCCGCTCAATGTGCTGCGGTCGCTCAAGCTGAGGCCGCTGAAACGCTCAACGTAAATCTCGCTATACTCGAGAGCACCCAATCCTCCAGACAGGATTCCAACGTGGCCAAAGCTGAGGCTTCCGCCGCAGCCAAGGCCTCGGCTGGCACTGCCACAAGAGATGGAGTCGACCTTGGTCTCGCCTCTGATGCTGGTGCAGCTGCTCAACTAAAATCCCAAGCCGCAGCATTGGGACGAGCAAGTAGCAGAATTAGTTCCGGTCCTGCGTTATCCGCATGGAAATGGAGGAACGAAGAATCTTCAGAATCGTCAGCCTCTGCAATCGCCAGCTCTAGCGCCAGTTCCAGCTCCAGTTCTCGCAGCGCATCCGGAAACTAAATCGATCTCGAGACTCGTACAACGGTGCGACGATCGAAATCGTCTTAGCAAAGCGTTTACCAATACGAAAGATTCATGTATTCCAGAGCTCGATCACTTGTAAAAATGAAAAAATAACTGAAATTTTGTCATTCCAAAATTAATAATAAAGATTAACATGCTTTTCAATCGATTACGTTGTCTTGCCTTGACTTCTTTAGCTTCGTCATATGTACAAGCATCTTCTATGTAATTGAACGGATAATTGTTTATTAATTAAAAATAAATATGTTATAAAGAGAAACTTTATCTTTGTCTTTATTTGTGCTTGTTTTATAAAAAGAAAACTACAGAATCTCGTTGATCGAAACAAGATTAATAACTAGTAAATAATGGCGAAATTAAATCTTGGTCGATGACATTTTTTTTACATGTTTTATATAATAAAGCTATTTTAGGATTGTTAAAAAAAAATATTACATGCCTATTGTATGTATTTTCCAGGATGATATTACCAACTTTCACACTCCATATGATCCAGGCTAAAATTTGAAAATAATTATTTAATGTCATTTACATTAATCGTATACTTTGATTTTGTTCTACGTTGTTTTAAGAAAGACACGGATTATTTGTTATTTTTCTCAAACGTCACGTATTTGTTACTAGTTACAATTATTTATGCAATTAACAAAGTATCGATTTAAAAATATCAGATATTATGATTTTATATTAGAAATCAATATATATGTATAAGTATATATAGATATGCGTATATAACTTGATGGGATATAACATGTGTGTACCTTAGAATTTATAGATTATTAATTAAATTTTAATGCAATAATCTTTGCATAAAAATATATGCAAAATCGTAATCGAAGTATCCAATCGAATAAATCACATGAAAACTATAACTATTCAAGAATACTCGATATGTCATAAAATTGACATAAATAGTTATTCGATTTAATAAATGATATTTTACAAAATAATAAGAGCAACAGCGTTTGTTATTTAATGAAACAACATAATATAAATAATATAGGTACTATCATAATAACAATATCTGTTTTATTTCTCAATATTATTGTTTCGAGTGGCTGAGATGTTTTAAGTGTTCGACTATTTTAACATAACATAAACAAGAGATAAGAATCGACTGTATTGATTAACAACAACAGTGCTTCAGATTTATATAATGTATAAAACAAAAAACTATCGATTCAATGCTCCAAATATTTAACAATAAATTTATGCCAATATGATATGATTCACTTTTTGATTTATAGGGGTACATATACAAGAGAAACCGTGAAAGAATAGAATGTTAAAAAGATGTTGAATCTTTTAAAAACAAACGATCAGGTAACGATACGGCAAAGGATAATAATTTAATATTTACAAGATATATTTAGGTAAAATTAAAGAAACGCATGTTAGTAGAGCAATAATGACACAAAAAAGTTCGCGTGCCGGCTGCGTATTCATACACCAAACAGATTTTTAAAAGCACTAAAGTACGGACAAAGCAAGTAGCGTGTAATGTTTAGACAGTTGTGCGATATGGTATAAAATGGAGGAGTAACGGTGCAGGTGCATCAATCGACGAAGACCCTACGAAGATGAAGTATCTCTCAACGCTCGTGTCGTCGCTCTTGTTGGGAGCCTGTGTGCTCAGTGTCCATGCCGACAGATCGTGGGCAGCATCGGATGCAAATGCTGAAGCTTCAGCCGCAGCGGAATCGTCATCTCTTTGGGAAGATTCATCCAGTGCAAGCGCGGGGGCGTCAGCCGCAGGGGAATCGTCATCTCTTTGGGAAGATTCATCCAGTGCAAGCGCGGGAACGTCAGCCGCAGGGGAATCGTCATCTCTTTGGGAAGATTCATCCAGTGCAAGCGCGGGAACGTCAGCCGCAGCGGAATCGTCATCTCTTTGGGAAGATTCATCCAGTGCAAGCGCGAGAGCATCAGCCGCAGCGGAATCTTCATCTGCCTGGGAAGATTCATCCATCGCAAATGCGAGAGAATCAGGGGCATCGGGATCGTTATCTAGCTGGGAAGATTCATCCAGTGGAAGCGCTAGCTCTAGCACAAGCGCAAGCGCTAGCTCTAGCTCAAGTTCTAGCTCTAGCATTAGCTCCAGCGCTAGCTCTAGTTCTAGTGCTAGTGCCAGCGCTAGTACAGAAACATCTAACGAATCAAGAAGGGGTATCGCCATTGAGGGAGCCCTTGTAGGTACGGGGGCTGCAAGTACGGCTGCGGCATCCGCAGAAATGCTTTCGAACACTTTAGGATTGGGTCAATCTGGTCTTCAAGCACAAACAGCATCCGTAATGCAGGCTAACATTGCCAGCGATGCCAGCAACCAAGCTAATCGATTGGCGACTGCCGCAGCAGCAGCGATGTCAGCCGCAGCTTCCGCTCAAGAGAACGCTGCGTCGTTAGCTCGAGCTTCGGCCAGTGCGTCTGAAAGTGCAGCTAGTGCCTCATCGAGGGCCGAGGCGAGCGCCGAAGCAGCTAAATCGTCTGCGGAGAAATGTTTATTGCTCGCACAAAACTCCGCACAAGCGCAAGCTCGCGCGACTGAACAATCAGAGTCCTCGAACAGAGACTCGGCTGCCAACGCGGCCGCCGCCGCGGAAGCCGAAAGGAAGGCCATTTTGGCTCTAAAAGCTATAGCTGATGCCAAGGCCAAGGCTGGTGCAGCCGTTGCCGCTCAGTCGGAGGCTGCTGCGGCAGCCGCAGCCGCTGCAAAAGCACGCGCCGATGCCGAAGCAGGTGCTAGTTTGGCCGCGGCAGCGCGTGCCGTCGCCGCAGCCGAAGCTGCTGCTTCCAGACGAAATGATCGTCAAGCTGGTATAGCTCAAGCCGGAGCATCCGCCGCAGCCGAGACCAGAGCGCTTGCATCCTCCGCTGCAGCCACCGCTAAAGCAGCCGCTTACGCTAATGCCGATATCCGAGCACTTTCCGCAGCTGCTCTAGAATCCTCCATATCTTCGTCCTCTAGCGCTAGTGCTTCTAGTGCATCCTTATCCACCAGCAGTGGTTCCAGCAGCGGTTCCAGCAGCGGTTCCAGTAGCGGTGCCAGCAGCAGTGCCAGCAGCAGTGCCAGCAGCAGTGCCAGCAGCGATTCTAGCAGCGATTCCAGGAGCGATTCCATTAGTCTCCTAGGAGATGATGCTTCATCCAGTGCCAGCAGCGCAGCTGAAGCTGAGAGTAGAACTAGCTCGCTGATCTTAAACTAACCTCTCTTCCTTTGATCAGAACCGTCCGTCCATCTATCCACCGATGGAGTATCCGAAGAAATGCGAGTTCGAGCTTACTTTCCACTAAACTAGATTCACGATTATGCTCAATAATAAATCTTTGATGGAACGAATACCTGAAAGATATTTTATAAGTGAAATTCTCATAAATGAATTCTTGCAAACCCGAAAACCAGTATATTTCTTATTTATCTCCATATCCTAATCAATATATTTCAACCAATAGATGATATTTTCTTACTCTCGCGTTCTATACTCTTAAGAATGTTGAAATAATGACGTTTTAATAGAAATGATCTTAAGAAGACGACCGTGTAATTTAATGACTTACTACCGCTGAATTATTAGAAGAAAAAGAAAAGGGAACACCGAGTGGTGCAAGATCCATTATTTGTCGTTTCTATATAATTCTGAGTATACGCGTAGTAGCTGTCCCATTGCCGATTGTGGGTGCGTCCGACGCTTGCGAGTGAAACACGGGCTACGAATGTGAACGATTCTTTGGTGACTGGTGGTTCAAGAGGTGAGAGACCATGAGAAGTTGGAGGGGGACGACGGGGCCTCGCCCGGTGAACGGCTATAAATTGCCGGCAAGTGCTTCGGACCCAACCAGTCTTGATCGGAACACTAAGACCCTTTTTTTAGCTATTCCTCTTGGAGGATACTTTGCTTTCACTTGGAATTTATAACGATGAAGCTCATCGCACTCTTCTGCCTTACCGTTGCGGTCGTTCTCGCCGCATCCGAAGACGAAAAGAAGGAGCCAGAACGGCCCAAAACCTTCCGAAGGCTTATACCGGCTGATGTTCTTCGTGGTGAGTTTTCAGCATCGATTTTAACCCTTTTCACTATGGATTTCAGCCGAATAGAACGTGATAATCTTTAGAATGTATCACTTTTTCTTTTTTCCTTTCTTTTTCTTTTTCTTTTTATAATTTACTATTGTCTTTGCAAATATTTCAAATGCACACGTGTGTAATAAACATTCTCTCCGTTCTCCATGTACACATATATACATGTATACGTAGGTATTGAAATGATAACCAGTTATATACTTTCGTTTTTTTACTTTTGTAATCTCAATATTGTCTATAATATAAATTATGTTCATGTAAGTATCTTACAGATGATTTAATGGAATGAATGAAACATTAAAATCGAATAAACATGGAAAGAGTCGTAAAATTATTGAACGTTCGCCGATATTGATCGTTATGTATAAAATAATGAGAACAAAATTAGATACTTGATTGGTTCTATCTGTCTATCTATCGTCCTTCGTGTCGAAATCCAGTCATACGAAATTCGTTCGATTGATGATTATTTTTTCATCGTGGAAAAAAGAAACAGGGTCGACCGAGTCAGAGCCGATGTTGTTCGGTGAAAGGCACCGTTTATTAAGGTCGTTTGTATGTTCGTAAATAGGGAAGCCCGGAACGTCAGTCGATGAATCTTGCTTTCGGAAAAAGAGAAACATTTACATTTTTAATAAATAAATTAAACATGCCTCGAAAAAAAAAAAAAGAAGTAGATAGTCTTTTTCGTATATAGTATGTCAGATTAAAAGATACATGCTAAGTAGGACGATCTTTAAAACTACAGATATGCATCTGATATTCGTCCAGAGTAGCTTAACGAGTTCAAGTGTCGGAAAGAGAAACTCCGAAACATCGAGATTTAATGTCTTGATGGTATCTTCGATGACTCGAGAACTTTCCAAAATCATTCTTCGTTATATGTAAGCGAAAAATTGTTTTTTCTTTTTCTTTTCTTTTACAATATTATTAACGATCCGCGTAGTTTATTATAAGGCGAATTAATCAATGAAAAGTATTGCCTTACCGTAATTAAATTAATTATTTATGGCTTATGGCTATAGAATTATAATTACAATCGATCCATCGGGAACTCCGTTTTTAATTAGAAACCGTCACACGCTCATGATTACCGATGAGAGATATTAATATTAATAAAAAAAAGTAAAAGAAAAAAAAAAAGAAAAAAAAATTATAAATCAATCGTAATGATGAGTAGACTGAAGTAATTAAATAACACACACAATATGGATTTTATAATTGAAGTATGTAAAATTTATGGGGGGAAAAGAAAAAAAACCATGCCTTTCAGATAATGCAGCCTTGGTTTACGTTTACTCGTAATTATGTCACATGGAAGAATGATGTATAAATTCACGTCTCATTGTTTCCGAGTTTACATTGATTCGACCTTCTGATGTTTTTAAAACTATGCCATATGTATAAATATATTCCTATAAGACAGAAAGTACAAGAAAAGAATGGCTCGGTATCCGTACGAGTAAAAGGTTCGTCAAGCAGCGAATCAGAAAGTGCAAATGAAAGCGACGTCTCGATTTCTTCGATTCGCAAAAGGTCTTCGCCTGTCTCTGTCCCACGGCATTCCAAATCGCCACATCAGCTTTGCGATAGTCACCCTGCTGGACCATGCCGTTATATGCTTACTCACAAGTCGATACTGGTAATATAAACTTCTTAGTGCGTATATGAAAAGAAAGACAAGAAACTATATCCGCGGCAAGAACGTAAGTTCACGAGAAAGTATATTGGTATAACTATCGCTTCTCTATCTTCCTGTAGCAATCTCTATAGTTTTTTAATTCCGTATTTCTCAAGATTTCTCGTATACAACATTCGAATGTTCCTTTATAAGGAGTTTAATATTTTAATGATCTCATGATTAATCTCTTACGTATTATATGATAATAATGATTTTCAGAATATCATAAATTATTCAAATTGATCATATAATACCAAAGGTGTGAACTCTTTTAATATCTAGAAAAATGATATTTAGTTTTAACTCACTTTTAACTCATAACTTCTAATTGATATGGCCTCGATATCCGTTATGCGTTGCTCTAGTCCCAGATTCCCAGGAATACTTGAATTACCGACAATGACCTCGTTACTCCTATTAACCAATGGCGTAGTTAAGTTCAGGGATAGCGCGTATTTAAGATCTTTTAAGTGTCGTTTCATTAGCATAACCCTTTATGGCAATTTTTCTTCAAAAGTGGTATGGTGTCTAGACTTACGTAAACAAACGGTAGTCGTAGGAAAGTGTGATCGCGAGCCTACTATCATAAGATCTATTACAGAATCTTAAGGCTACGATCGTTGCACATACTAATTACAGTCTTGCATTTGTTTTCTTTTGATTTGCAATATCGTGACATATATATTCTCGATGCGTCTTATTGTTTATTACGTTATATGTCCGAGTCCAAAGAATAGAATTTTTAAATTTTTGAAAAAAGAAAATTAGGTCATCATCCGATCCTATATGCGATATTTTTCTCGAGGACAATGAACGTTTTAACTCGGCGACGAATATAACGGTACTTACTACCGAGAAAGAGAACCGCCGAACAGTTATTTTAAAATAAGACCAAAGAAGAATGACCAATATTTCACATATTATATTATATCTCTTATATTAAAGTCGCGATAAGATTTACGATGAGATTCTTTTTAGAAACGTATTGTTACATGAAATCAGATGCAGAGATGAAATCTAGGAAGCACGAGTTTAGCAGTTAACTGGATCCGTTGGTATCTTGCTTACAAAGGACGCTCAAAATGCATATGTGCAACATATGCCGACAAGAAAGCGAGAAATTGGAGATGCGAGTACACTCTTATGATATTCACTTTCTTCTCGCTCTGTCAGAGAAACTACATTAGAGAACCTGCTCTTAAATGCATGCTCGGATCATATGAAAAGGCAATATGGTCGTTGCTCTTTCGTAGATTCAGATTCGAGAAGATTTAAAGTCGTTCCTTTTCTTTTTTAACATGAAAGTTATAAAAAGAAAGTAAAAAAAGAAAATAAAAATAAAAAAGAAAAGAATATCAATAAAATATATATTCAATTTTTTAAGAATAAAATTATTACATATTTAAATTAGATTGAGAAATATGTTTCGCTAATCGTACATGCCTATATATAAATAAATACGATTCCATTCGAAAGCAAGGTCTTCTACATATTATATTTACGCATTGAAGATGTATAAATACATTCTATCTCAGAATCAAAGCGCTATGTCGCGATGTATCTGTATCACCGTTTCGCAAAAGATTTACGTTGACGTTAAATGTTTCACATCTAAGACCTTCGTTTTATGGATGACGTTGAGATAAGTAGAGCGAGCCGATTATTTAAGTAAAGTCGATACGCCATTACGTAGTTTGTATGTACATAATTGTACAAATGATGGTGAGTCAAAGTCTAAAGCTTAGAGTCTAAGGCGTTAACGGCACATCGTCGTTATTGCCATTGTCGTTGATATTATCGTTTTCGTCGTTGTAGCTCTTGCATAAACGGTATTCCGGTGTGTGACAGTGAAAGTGTTTCTCCTTGAAGTTTCTACTGTGATCATTGTCGATGAAACTTCAAGTTATGCATACAATAGATGAAGGTACTCGATGACAATAGAATTATACCTACGATTCGTCTCAGGCGTGTGATTCGATAAGATACGAATGACTCATGTTCGGAGAAAATTAGATAATAATTGTTTTCGTGAGAGTTATCAGACAATTTGATTTTATGCAAATTCATTGATTGACGAAGAATTATATGATAAATATTACAATTTTCTGATTAATCTCGTTCTCTTTATTATCTTTTCACAGATTTCCCTGGCATGTGCTTCGCTTCAACCAGATGCGCTACTATTGAACCAAACAAAACTTGGGAGCTTTCACCGTTCTGTGGTAGATCCACTTGTATAGCAGCTGACGATAATTCTGGTCGCCTTTTCGAACTTGTAGAAGATTGTGGACCTTTACCAAAGGCCAATCCAAAATGCAAACTTTCTGATAAAACCAACAAGACGGCCAGCTTCCCAGACTGTTGTCCGATTTTCGAATGCGAGGAGGGCGCCAAACTTGAATATCCTGAGATTCCAACTTTGCCACCACCGACGGAAATCTTTGAAATTGAAAAAATAACGGAAACGTCAACGGCGAAAGCTTAATGCATTGCGCACCCTATTTTTGTTCTTTTTTGTCCCCCTCTTCCCTGATTATCTTATTCGAAAGCGAATAACACTTTTAAGCTCTCTCAATCACGCCCGATTTCTAATTAGTATCGCATCGTATCCTCATCATGGCGAAATAGATCGTAATAGTGCCGTGAATAATTGGCCCCTGGCAACTGGTTAACAACTTGTATCATTAATTTTACTTGCAAATTTATACGAAATGTTACTTTCACTTCGATTCCGGGTTATAATACTATCGATCAAAACTCGGCACATCCGAGGAACCTTTAGACACTTTCGTCTAAATATTAGAAGACAGCAAGATCGTTAAAATTTTTCTTAATACATGCTCAATGATTAGCTGCGCTACGCTTTTGCTGGTTCGTCATGGTTCAAACATAATGCTCCTTGGTTCGTACTTAATGCTCCTTGCACGAGAATTTCGCCAAGCTTGCATTTGTCGATCCTAATTTCCTTAGCAACATATGCGTTTTCACGATTGCAACTTTCTCATGTTATTTCTGCACATCACGATTGCGAAATCAAAATACGATCTTTTCGCATTATTATCGTCCTTATGTTTATGACGTGCACCTCTCTTAATATAATTAATGTGATCCCGCTAATTTTCGTACTTTATGCCAGTGATACTGTATAAACGAACTTGCATATGCATTTTAAATGTGTGTGATCCTAAGTATACTATAAAATAATAAATTAATATCTATTTAAAAAAAGAAAAAAGGAAGAATTATTATTTTTATTTTTCCCTCGTATCTTTTCAAATAATTTTTTAAATATATGAAAGAGAACAAAATATATTTTTTTTCTTATATATATATATATATATATATTATATATATAATCGATTTATTTCACAGTAATCATATAATACATTGTTTATTTATTTATTTTTTTATAATAAATTATTATTTAATTTTTAAATAGTTTATTAACAAAACGATTTATTGATTTTCTTTTTTTCTGTTCGTTAATATTAAATGTTTTTTGATATTTTCGATTTTCTAATACGAAATTCGCGCGTTAACAAAAAGGATAAAACATAACCTATGATGACCATTAGCGCTCTTAGCGCTAGTTACTATAGATCTTCTCACGATGTTAAATGTTACATCTTTTATTACAAATGTCCCTAATATTTGTAACTAGTGTTTTGTACGTGGGCGTTATATTTACTTGTAGTTTTGTTAGATTATTTTCTTTGTATGTATTAAAAACATAGTGAACATCTATGGACTTTTCCTAATTTATATCACAAAGTAACTTCCTTCCTTTACCACTCTACCTACTTTCGTCGATGTTGCTACGTCGACAGAAAGAGATTAAAAGAAGCGATGAGAACTGTCATTATCAGCATGTGGTAGCTAAAGCAGTTAATATTTTAAAAACAATTATTACAAACGTTTACACTGTTTGTAATGTGTAAATCTTAATTAAATAAATTAATTTTGACATAAATCATTTTTAAAATGTCAGAGAGCTCGATAATATGGCTCTCTTTAGTTATGTTAGGTGGCTCGTATTTGGCCGGTTTTTTGCCATTAATTATGAATTTATCGGAGGTAAGAGTATTTGTCAATTAAAATTATTCGATTATACTATATCTGTGATGATTTATAATATTACTATTATACACTCAAAGCTATTGATTAGATATTCTTTAATACATATTGGAATTATTTGTTATGAAGTGTTAATATATTTTTAGGACAAATTGCAATTAGTATCTGTACTTGGAGCTGGGCTCCTTGTTGGAACTGCATTGGCTGTAATAATACCTGAAGGTATAAGAGCATTATTTACAGCCCCTCCTGGTAGTGATCATCAACAGAGCGATAGTAAGCTGTTATATAATTTTATACTTTCAAAATATAATAGTATCCTATAAAAATTTAAAGATTATATATTTGTATTGTATGTTTTATAGGTGATTTACATTCTTTGATAGGGATTAGTTTAGTACTTGGTTTTATATTTATGCTCTTGGTCGATCAATGTACAAGAAGAGGCGGAGGTAAGGAGAAAAGTTTTACTGCTACATTAGGCCTTGTCGTTCATGCAGCTGCAGATGGAGTAGCATTAGGTGCTGCAGCAACAACCTCGCAAGCTGATGTTGAAGTCATAGTATTTCTAGCAATCATGCTACATAAAGTAAGACCAAAGTAAATTTAAACAAAAATAGATTTATTCATAATGAAATGCTTGTTATGACAGGCCCCTGCTGCATTTGGCCTAGTATCTTTTCTACTTCATGAAGGAGTGGAAAAAAAGAAAATAGGGAAACATTTATTAGTATTTTCTCTTTCTGCACCCTGCCTTGCACTTCTAACATATTTTGGTATTGGAAAAGTAAGTTTTAAAATTATCTTTTAATATGCTTTTTCATTGCCATGCAAGTAAATGTATTTATATTCTTTGTATATTTTAGGAAGGTAAGGAAACCCTCAGTAATGTCAATGCGACAGGACTAGCAATGTTGTTCAGTGCAGGAACTTTTCTATATGTAGCTACTGTACATGTTTTACCAGAATTAATGACCAGAGAAGTTAATTATTCTCGTTTACCAACAACTGAAGCAACAACAACAAGTGTCTCTGGTCTTAGATTTAAAGAAATATTAGTATTAGTAATTGGTTCATTTTTACCATCACTACTTACAACTGGACATCAACATTGATACAGAGCTCATATTTTATACTACACCAGTTTCACTCATTGCCCTCATAAATTTTTATAATTTAATTTTTTATACACGTAAAAACTAAAATTTTTTGAGACGTGTATGAATACAGCAATCTTTGTTGTTAAACGATATGTATATAACATTATTTGAATTCGAACTTAAAGAATACTTTAGGTACTATTATAAAAAGATAATATTTAGGCATAAACAAACAGATCTTATAAATTTTTTGTTATTCTAGTATTTCTGTACATCATAATGATAAACTATTTCTTATTCAACGTTTAATGAATACAGGGATATCATTAAATATGGTTTTAGGGGACAGTAATGAATTCTTAATTTAAAATATATTATTCTTGCATTATAAATAATGCATAAAACGATAAAATTTTGTGCGATAAACCATCTAAAGAAGGACGATTATAAATATGAAAATATTTTTCTGTTGATAATACTGATAAAATAATCATATATTAAAATTTCTATGTGATAAAAATATCTGATTAGAAAGATGCATTTATTTTATAATTAAATTATGTTTTAGATAATTTTTATTATGTTTGACACATACAATGAAATTATTGTATTTTCCGTAATTAAAAATAATACATTAAACCTTGAAAACCATATGCATACGAAAACAAACATATATTTTAATGTATTTTAAAGATATGTGTATCTTGACATATAAAGAATTTTTTTATTCACAAATGCAATTGTCATCCCATACGATCTATAGTAAATTAAATAATGAACAAATAATTGTAAACACCTTATTTACTCAGATTATATTTTTTAAAATAATAAATTATTACAATCATTTTTCTACATTTGATCTTACATATCTTTGTTTATATTTCTTTTTTTTAATTACTTTATATCTTTTCATTTATTTCAAATAATTGTGAACTGATAAAAACAAAAATCAGGATTTCATATAAATCATTTTCAGAGAGTTGAATAAATGGTATGCATGTACTATACGATCAAATAACCGAGCATTTAATCATACATATCGGCATTATATGAATCATGAAAGTTGGTAGAAGTGTCACGTGAAAATCGTATTTATCGAGATATGTTTATATCGATAATTTTATTTGAATTTGTAGAGATCTCATTGGTTTTCAATAGTGTCAATCAGTATTGCCAAGATCAAGAGAAAATAGAAAATAATGGGGGAAAAGTAGTAGTAGACGAATTATAAGACATAATTTGTATCAGATATGTGTGGTAATATAGGTATAGTGTGATAGTGAGACATAATGTCATATTAGGTCGTGTAGACATTTTATCTAGTAATGTTGTTGATACGTTTAGGTATATTATTATTTTTGTTAATATTCACTTTACGTGTTTATTAATATACTCTATCGGAGTCAAATCTTTCGTTTAAATGTAATTTATTTTAAATGTTTAAGAAGTCATTTTCTCACAACTAAAATATATAAATAAGCAGCAAAAATGAAAATATAGTAATGTATTGTATTTTTAAAATGAATATACATAACCTATTTTGTGTGTGACTATAAAATTATAAGTTTCACATATAGTTGTATTGAAATGTAATCATGTTATTGTTCATTTTAAATTTATAATTCATAATACGTTACGTTTCATATTGCAAAATAAATTCTTGGTTTCATAACCTCTATTCGTTGTAACTTGTATGCTTTTATACCATTGAACGATTTAATCAAAATGAATGGAACGGTATTGGATGTTTCAAATGAGAATTTAAAGTCAATAAAAGAGTATCAGCAAATACTTTTAAATCAAGCATTTACACAGGTATTTATATGAATGAATTAGTCGATATTACAAATTATTTCATTCTGTAATAATTCTATTATATAGTGCATGTAACTCTCTACTTATGTTAAAATATTTATACTTCTTTATATGGTGATTTATTTTTATATATGATCATACAATTGTATATGTATGATTGTAATGATTTAATATTACAGGGAATTCAGAGAAATGAAGAACGGTTCAAGGTATGGAGTGAATATAAGAAGAGTCATAAAAAAGTTATAGAAGCACTTGAGAAGTTACCTTTAGAATTAACAATTAATTGTATGGTACCTATTGGTAAACGTGCATTTATGAAAGGAAAATTAATACACACTAATGAGATTCTGGCTTGTCTTGGAGAAAACTACTTTGCAAAGTATAGTGCTGCACAGGCAATTGCTCTGTGCAATCGTAGAATTCAATGTACGTGTATACACTACACAGAGTATTTTATTTGTAACGTTTATAATAGTTTTTCTCTCTTTCAGCTGCCAATGAGATGTTGACAAATTTGGAGAAAGAAAGAAATTTATATGAAATGAGACAATTTATTCTTCAACAGTTTGATGTTTTTGATAAAAAAGAAAGGGCAGATTTAGTAGAACATTGGGATGATAAGAAATTAGATGAATGGAGAGGTGACTGTTAGAAAAAAATATTAATTTATCTAAAGTAGTATTTGTATATTGAAGTTAAATTTTGTTTATAGCTGAACACAGAGAAAGAGAAAAAGAGTATCACAAAAAACTTTCAGAATTAAGGAAAAAAGAAAAGACTGATATTCGAACTGAAGAAGATCTTTTTGAAAGATTAGATGAATTGGAACTTCAAGAGGAATTAGCAGATGAAATAAATAGGTCTTTATATTATTAGTTTACTTTACTATATTAATTGTAAGTTCTGATGTTTCTTGTATATTTTATTATTTCTTTTTTTATTTTTAATTTTTAATAGATTAGAAGATGAACGTGCAAAGTTTTATGGAGAAGAATTAGAAGAAGGAGAAGTATATTATGAATCAGAATCAGAAGAAGAAAGTTCGAACGACGAACATTCTTTGGAAGAAATAGAAAAAGAATTGAACAAATTGAAAGAGATTCGAATGGGCAAAAGTACTAACGTACAATCAACGGAATCTAATATGATCAATACTATTGTACATACAGAAAATGAAATATCTAATAGTTATTCCAACAAAACTGAAGAAGTAGAGAAAACATTATTAAAAAGTATTAGCAACGTTTCCTGTAATAATCATAATGAAGATGAATCGTTTAAGATTGCTAAATCAAAAAGTATGAGCGAAATAAGTAACGAGGAAGTAAAATTAAAGGAGAAAAGAAGAGTATCGTTTGTAGAACCAGATTTTTCGACTTACAATGACGATAGTAAAATAGTTTCTATTAAAAGTCAAGATGAACAATCTACAGAATTATCGAATGATAATCTAGATGATTCTGAAGATGATATTATTCGAATTGAATTTAAACATACAGACAATAATTTATATATACCAGAATTCACGGGAAATGAAATAACATCTCCAAGAGATATATACAAAATGTTTTCTAAACCAAAATCTATTTTGAAAAGATCACCCAACGATGTAATGCCACCACAAAATACTTCTTTACCAACATATAATTCAGAAGAAGAAGAAGAAGAAGAAGAGGGAAATGAAGGTATTAAACCTTCCGCGTACAATTTTGTAAGTAAATATTTATTTAGCAAATTCAATTATTTCGTCAAAGAGTATAACATATATTTTAATTTTATTATTTTAGATTGTAAAGGACATTTGCGAGAAGGAATTAGCAAACTCTAAGAAAAAGAATGTCGAGATTATGCAGGACAAGAAACTAGTCAGTAGATTTAGGATGGAACGTTCTACGTTAAAAAAATAAAATAAATATATCGATCGCTACATAATTGAATCCTTGTTTATTTTCTTAAATTTCATGTTATAATTAATTTTAGTTAGATATCATAAGATATTTTAATCCTAATAAATTCTAATTATTAATCGTATTTATGTCGAGCGATACTATGAGAGCTAATTAAATAATAAGCTATATCGTTTAAATCCATTTTAATGAATCATTTGGAATGGTTTCGTGCTCGACAAAATCAACGAATTTCTCACCTATTCATTTATTCACGTGGTGTAGCATAAAGGACAAAGGGCTTACGTAACATAGCACTTGGAATGCAAACGAGACGAGGAATACTGTGATTAGGAGTACGATTAGTGTAACGATCTTTATCTCGTGACAACGATTAAAAGCTTCGCAAGTTCGATTCGTACGTGAGAACCTTGATGTTTATTTACAGATTATATCACGAAGAAAAAAAAGGATTTCTCTCTCTCTCTCTCTCCCTCTCCCTCCCTCTTTTTTTTCTAACTATCTTTCATAAATTTATTCAATTTTAAAATCACCGATAAAACAAAGGCTACAAAATTACTTGGCTCAAAATACATGTCATAATACATATAATAGAAGAACATTGACGTTAATCTTTTTGTTTATTAGTATCTCTGTTAAATCATTTTTTTTCGCATTACAATAAGAAAAACGATGACGTATATTACAAAGAGGATATTTTTCATTTTTTTTATTTTTTCTCGTGTAATATAATATCGTGCGAAAAATAGACGGCCTAGATAATAGGGATGACAAGTGATATGTCGCGAGCGATCGTCCTTGGATTAATTAAAAAGGATGGCACAAAAAAAGGAATAGAAATAAAAAAGAAAGAAAAATAGGAATAGAAAGTGCTTTTGGAACGAATAAAAAATGATTGAGGTGTACAACAATTAAAGTTGTTCACGTCATATATATTTGTCTATATACGAATACGTAATTATATAGGTACATAATTGTTTTTGAAGTAGATACTTGCAGACAATGAGGTAAATTATATATTATTTGTACTGCTTGTACTGCTTCTCATTTTGAATGGGAATTTAATTAGAACATGTGTTAAAACGTCAAGATATCTTTTAAAGCAAGGACAAAATTTAAGTATGTAATTGAATCTAGTAATTTAATTTTGAATTTCATCCATCTCAAAGGTAAATTTCAAAGGTAAATGAAAAATGAAAGGATTCAGATCCTTTTGATCAATCGATCTTTTTCTATGCGGTTCATTGACTTCCATTAATCTATATTTGAACAAAAGTAATGCGATTTGTATTGAAAACTTATTCCAGTCACGTCAGTTTTAAAATCACGAAGAAAATAGAAAGAGTTTGATCTAAATTCTTTGAAGAAAATCGGACAGAAGGATTAGTGTTTGTCATTTGTATATATGTCACTGTATGTGTGTATGTGTATGTGTGTGTGTGTCTGTGTGTGTCTGTGTGAGAGGAGGAATGAGAGAGACAGGAGACATGCGCTCTACGTGCGTTTCCCTTTCTTGTTGCAACGTCTCTTCGTAGGGTAGCAGCCAGTTTTCATCCCTCAGTTCAACGCCGCGTGCGAGCGTGACACGATGAGAGAGTACGGCTCACATTTTTTCACGCTTTTTTCTAACTAAAATTACTAACTCTCGGTGTCACGTTTTTCTCGCTTTCCCCTTTTACGTGCTCTTTTCCAATCATCGAACTTGTTGAAA